GGGGGGGGGGGGGGGGGCGTCTTATACCCTGAAAAATACGGTAAAACATAAACTAAAATGAAGATAAAGGGCAACAAGTATCTGTCATTGTTTGCGATGACATGAATACAGTTTCTTCACCAATATGTTTGGCTTTAATGCCAGCCTTTTCCACCCCAATGCTAGGGGTGCTTATTATTCAAGGGGTTAGTTGTGCTTCCTACTTAGGGACATAACTTTGCAAATGGAGTCAATGAAGCAGAAGAATTCCGTTAACTAAAACTTATGGCATGATCCCTGCCAATGTGCCAATCAGAATTTGATTTTCTGAACCAGTTATTTGACCCTGGCCTACTAATGGGAACACATGGGATAGGTGGCGTTGGCACCTGGAGCTGTTGAGCAAGTTATTAAACGGGAACGATACAGTGGAACATAGAAGCGGAATATAGAGGGGTTGTAAGAGAAGAGGCAACTTTGGTGGAGTTGCCATAACTTTACTAGATGCTTTTTTTGAATGCTGCGATAGTTAGCAATCCCATTTTAAGAATGAGAGAAGTAGCATGAAGTTGCCAATGCCACCAGGGTCTTTGTGTGAGGCTCAATTCGGCCATGATTACAGGCTGCTCCATCTAAGCCAACAGATTGTGCAAATTCACTAGGACAGTGCGTACTTCGGCCTCCATGTGTGTCTGTGAGCACATTTGTTAAATCCCATTTGTCTCCGAGCACAAATCCCAGCCTTTACAACGCGGATTCTCCTCCTCCTCTCTCCTTTTCCAGCATCCAGCGCTATGCGGTGATCCCTCTCTCCACCAACTCAGGGCTTATAGGCTGGGTGCCTCACTGCGACACCCTGCACGCTCTGATTCGAGACTACAGGGAGAAGAAAAAGATCCTGCTCAACATTGAGCATCGCATCATGCTGAGGGTGAGCTCTGCCACTTGCTCAATCTTCAGAGTTTTGCAACTCATGTATTCTGTCCCTGAATCTCAGGCTGAGGAGACACGGCTTGATAGCCATACACAGTCCTCCCAAAGTTGCTTTTTCAGGAGGCAACCGAACTTTATGGTTTTTCTATGAAGACATTTCGCTTCTCATCCAGGAAGCTTCTTCAGCTCTGATTGGATGGTAGGGTATGGAAGGATTTACACTCCTTGCAGACAGCTGGTCATTTGCATCCTTTTAGAGAGTCGTTGAGGCCACCTGGAGGGTTCATCTGTGTCCTCAGAGTCACCTGAGTGGTGCAAATCAATGTGGAGCCTTTTTGGAACTGCTGAAAGGACTGTGTGGTAGACTGGAGCTAGAGGATGTCATATCCCTCCCCATCTGTTGAGAGTGGTCTGTTCTTTCAAACCAGCGGACCTCTGTGTCCAAAAGGTGGAGTTTTCAGTCTTGAAAAGGGTGGCTTTTTCTTGGATGAGAAGCGAAACATCTTCAAAGAAAAACCAATCAATCCAGTTCCCTCTTGAAAAAGCACCTTTGGGACAACCATGACCTGGAGGACCGAAAATCTCCATAGACGTACACCGTTAGTTTTGCTCTCCGGAGCAGCGGCCACACCCAGTATCAGAATGGTTCCTGCATTTCTTTCCTACCTGTCCAAACTTTTTTTCCTCCTCCCTGAAAAAGGATATCAATGGCTAATGGATGTTGTTAATCTGATTGTTCTTAGATGGCTCCTGATTACGATCATCTCACTCTAATGCAAAAGGTGGAAGTGTTCGAACACGCCGTCAACAATACAGCTGGTGATGACCTGGCCAAGCTTCTGTGGCTGAAGAGCCCCAGCTCAGAGGTACAGCTAAGGCCCATTCCTGTTCCTTCTCCCGAACCCTGAAAATGCTTCTGGTCTTCCAGTCAAGATTGGAACAAAATCTTGGATAAATTGTCACACGAATAAAACAATCCACCCTGTTTTTACTTCCCATTTTCAAATATCTGTTTTAAGAGCTGAAAGAGCCGCTGTTCCACATTCTTTTCTAAAAGAAAAAAGAAAATACATCCCAAATGGGCATAAATCATCCACTTTTTGTTTCGACAGGTGTGGTTTGACCGAAGAACGAATTACACTCGTTCGTTAGCTGTGATGTCGATGGTTGGCTACATTTTGGGTCTTGGCGACAGGCAAGTGGAACTAAACCTATTTCCCTATAGAATAAAAAGTCATTCACAATCCCTGCTTTGTTCACAAACATCACCTATTAATAAATCATAATTCATAACAGTGATGCAGGTCAATTTGCTGAATTGTTTGCAGTGCCCATAGATAAATACGAACTAAAGTTTGGAAAGAAACTTGGGTGTCAGAGTTAATCCCTTACCACTCAGCTATGGATGCAAGAAGAAAAATGAGATACATGAGAGAGAGAGAAACACCCTCTAATGACCATCTATATATAGACACATCTTAAAATGGTAAATGACTTGCATGGACCCCACCAGTCTTAAATAGGCTATACCTATACTGCTATATCATCCTTATTGCATCAGATTACAGATTACAGTATACAACCTTACATCAGCTGGCAGCTATTAAATTCTCAGTACCTGACAAAGGGAATCAAAGAACCGAGCCGAGCAGAATTATGCTTTATTTAATGGGGGTGGCCTGGGGGGTTAGATATAGACATTCTGAGTTCCTGCCACAAATTGTTCAGTAAATAGTGTGGTTCTTTCAAACAGGCATCCCTCCAACCTTATGCTGGACCGACTGAGTGGCAAAATCCTGCACATCGACTTTGGAGATTGCTTTGAGGTAAGCTGGTGAGATTTGCTTTTTAGAAAACGAAGCACTCAGTTAAGATAAGTTAAGAAAAAATCACTCCTTATTTTGTATCAACTCAGGGCTGAAGTGACATGACACACAGAGAGCCCTAATTTTTTAATGTTAACTTAAATATGGGCAATTCAGGGTTTTCTGCTGTGGGAAAGTATGAGCTGAACCCGAAGAGGAATGAAGATCAGGAAAGACATTGACTAGAAGATAAGCCAGAACAGAACAGAATAACAGAGTTGGAAGGGACCTTGGAGGTCTTCTAGTCCAATCCCCTGCTTAGGCAGGAAACCCTACACCCCTTCAGACAAATGGTTGTCCAACATATTTGTTAAAACTTCCAGTGTTGGAGCATTCACAACTTCTGGAGGCAGGTTGTTCCACTGGTTAATTGTTCTCACTGTCAGAAATTTCTCCTTAGTTCTAGGTTACTTCTCTCCTTGATTAGTTTCCTCTCATTGCTTCTTGTCCTGCCCTCAGATGTTTTAGAGAATAGCTTGACTCCCTCTTCTTTGTGGGAAGACTGCTATCATGTCTCCCCTAGTCCTTCTTTTCATTAAACTAGACATACCCAATTCCACCAACTATTCTGCCATCATTTTGCTCCCTACTACCATGGTCCTGAAATCAGTTTGGCCAACTTAAATGAAAACCTCAGGAACCCAAACCACAATCCTTCCTGGCTTCGATACCTTTCAGCACTCACTGTTCCTGTCTTTGAAGCCTTTCTTTGCCTGGATTTTAGGTGGCGATGACCCGAGAGAAATTCCCTGAGAAGATCCCTTTCAGGCTAACCCGGATGTTGACCAACGCCATGGAGGTAAGCCAGATCCTACAACAGGGGGGTCAAACTCAAGGCCCAGGGGATGAACGCGGCCTGCAGAGTGCTTAGATCTGGTCCACGGGGCCAGCCTGAAAACAGCAAAGGACCAGCCCACGATGCCTCTACCAGTGAAAACGGAGCTCGGGAGGGTCGGGGGCTCAAGAAGCTTCTTCAGCTCTGAAGTTTCAGTTTCTCGGATGAGAATAGAAATGTCTTCAAAGAAAAATCTGAAGGTCCAGTTGCTTCTTGAAAAAAGCACCTTTGGGACAACCATGACCATGTCTCAACTGACATTCCCCCCCCCCCACCTTTTCTTTCCCCCCACCCAGGTCACAGGCTTAGATGGAAACTACCGAATCACCTGCCATACCGTGATGGAAGTCTTACGAGAGCACAAAGACAGCGTCATGGCCGTATTAGAAGCCTTCGTATACGACCCCTTGCTCAACTGGAGGCTGATGGACAGTAGGTTGGCCGGAAATGAATAGACAGTGGCTGGGGGACCCAACAGACCTGAACCACCTCTCTCTCCCAGGCAGTACCCCCAAAATCAGCTTAGAATATAGATTAGTCTAAAAATCAAGTATCTGATTACAAGTTAACTGACTCACCCATTTTTAAAAATAGCATATACACCAAAGATATTGTGTATCAAATTATAATTGGACAATAAAGAATTCTACCCTAGTCTATTCCATTCCATTCCATTCTATTCTATTCTGTATTCTATTCCATTCCATTCTGTATTCTATTCCATTCCATTCTGTATTCTATTCCATTCCATTCCATTCTGTATTCTATTCCATTCCATTCTATTCTCTATTCTATTCTATTCTATTCTATTCTGTATTCTATTCTATTCCCTATTCTATTCTGTATTCTATTCCATTCCATTCTGTATTCTATTCTATTCTGTTCCATTCCATTCTGTATTCTATTCCATTCCATTCTGTATTCTATTCCATTCCATTCTATTCTCTATTCTATTCTATTCTATTCTATTCTGTATTCTATTCTATTCCCTATTCTATTCTGTATTCTATTCCATTCCATTCTGTATTCTATTCTATTCTGTTCCATTCCATTCTGTATTCTATTCCATTCCATTCTGTATTCTATTCCATTCCATTCTATTCTCTATTCTATTCTGTTCTGTATTCTATTCTATTCCCTATTCTATTCTATTCCCTATTCTATTCTGTATTCTATTCCATTCCATTCTGTATTCTATTCTATTCTGTTCCATTCCATTCTGTATTCTATTCCATTCCATTCTGTATTCTATTCCATTC